TCTCTCTCTCTCTCTCTCTCTCTCTCTCTCTCTCTCTCTCTCTCTCTTCCCCCTCTCTCCAACATGCCCCCCTTCTTTGTCCCAGATTGTCTCAGAATTCATGGCATCCTTCTCTTCCTTCTTCAGGCCCTCACATGCTAGAACAGCAAGCAAGCATCATCGTGCCCAGACCCTGAGTGCTGGGATCGCAGGTATGCACTACCACACCAGGCTATGTCAAGGCTGAAGCTGGAGCTAATAAGATCTTATTAAGCTGGTTGGCCAATAGCTTTCAGGTGTCCTCTTGTATACACACACACACACACACACACACACACACACACACACACAAACATCAGCTTACAGACCGATGCTGCCAGGCCCAGCTTTTTCTGTAGGTGCTGGGACCTGAACTCAGATCTTTCTGTTTAGTCCGCAAACACTCTATAGACTGAGCCATTGTCCCAAGGCCCAAGTTCCCTTTGATCAAAACTCATTACCTACACAGGAAAGCCCAGGCTTCGTGAACATTGCAAGCTCTGAAGGAATAGAGACTTCCCCATCTCCCCAGCGAGGCCTTATCCCAGCAGTGATGAGCATTTGGGGCTCAGGAGATGTCCATGTCTGTACCCCTTTTTCTTTAATCGTGGCATTCCAGGACAGGGATCGGGTTTCCTTTGTCTTTGCACTGTCTAGCACCGACCACACGGGGCAGATCCACACTTATGATGCTGGGTGAATGGAACAGAGATGCTTTCCCCGGGAAACTAAAGCAGAGTATTACAGGAAGGGGACACTGAGGCAAGCCAGGTATACAAATGTTTACATGGCCAACTGGGGAGATGACTGGGATTTGCCTAGGCTGTAGAGCAAGACAGGAAGTTCAGGGTCAGCTCTGACAACTTAAGGAGACCTTATCTCAAAATATAAAAAGATAAAAGAAAATAAAAGAGGACTGGCCTGGTATAATCAAACCAGTCCTTAGTACTTAAGATAAAAAATTAAAATAAAGGCAATGCAACGGGGGAAGGCAGAGGAAAAAATAAAAGAAGGTGCCGGGGAGATGGCTCGGCAGTTAAGACGGCTTATGGTTCCCTCAGAAGACAGAGGTTCATTTCCCAGCACCCGCATCAGGCAGCTCACAACCTGCTGCCACTCCAGTGCCAGGGCTGTGCCACCTCTACCCTCCAGCAGCACCAGCATGCAAGTGGTGCACACAAACCCACGCAGGCCAACACGTATAAAAGTCAAGCAAGCAATCTTTCCTTTCTAATTAAGGGAAGACCACTTATTAACCACCCTTCATTTGGGCAGGTGCTTTGAACATATCGTACATCACTCTTGTTGCTACAGTAACCTGGCACGGCTACCATTACTATTCCTCACAGCTCAAAAAGGAGAGGGGGCTTCAGAACATGAAAATAACTTGCAAAAGAAGAAATGTCCCTTAACCAAAAACTCCAGTGCCAGCTAGGATTCCCTGGCTCCAGAACCCTGGGATTTTTGTAATTACCTATGTCACCACAGTAATCAAGGATGACTGACCCCTACCTAGCAGCAGAAGACTTGGAGGCAGTGGAAAAGCTCAGAGGAGGCACTGCCCTGAGGAGACATTTCCCTGGGTGTATAGGAGGAACAATCGCCCTGGGGATGGCCTCGCCCTGAAGCAAAGATCTCTGGGAAGTAGGAGGCCACATGCTGAGGTTAAGGTACTTGTCAAGCCTACCCGGATAGCTGTTCAGAAGATAATGAGACAGACCCACAAGGATGAACCTCCCAGAGCTGCTGAAACTACAAGAGTGGGTAGGACTGCCCAGTGTGTGTAGCAGGAAGGACTGTTGGATGAAGGGGATGTGGGGCTGGGGGGAGCCAAGAGCCCAGTGGAGAGAGCTGGGACAGATTGCAAATGAAAAGCTCCCTTTACCTCTTTCAAACAAGATGTACCTGCTTCTGGGCCACAGAGTTCTTCAAAGGCCCTGTCTGTATAATCTTCATGTTCCCCCATACATTTATACTCCTGAAACTTCGTGCCATCTTCAAAGCTTAAAGTGTCATTTAGTTTATCCACTGCCTAAAGAAATTTCACAATTATTCATGAGAAAGAAGCCATATTGGGAGTTAAATGCATCAATTTTGTGCCTTTTTGCAAATATTAATTTTCAAATGACATGGCAAGTTGTGTGTGTGTGTGTGTGTGTGTGTGTAATAGTATATAAAGTCTTATCTCTAGCAACAAACACACACAAAATAAGTGTTGTATGTGGTTATTCATAGCTAACTTTTAGTAATCTGAAAGATTAATTCAGAGGAAATATAATGGAAAAAAGAAATCAGTTAATGTTGACACTGACATTTGTTAGAAGTTCTGATGAAAGTTGAAAATTTAAAAGGTGTTAACATCAAGTAATAAAATGATGTGGTGGTTTGAATATGCTTAGCCCAGGGAATGGTAAGTACTATTAGGAGTTGTGGTCTTGTTATAGAAGGTGTTGCCTTGTTGGAGGAAATATGTCACTGTAGGGGTGGGCTTTGAGGCTCTCTTCTTAGCTGACTGAAGACAGCCTTCTCTTGACTGCCTTTCTATCAAGGTGAAGAACTCTTGGCTCCTTCTCCAGCATCCTGTCTGCCTGAATGCTACCATGCCTCCTGCCATGATGATGATGGACTGAACCTCTGGACCTGTAAACCAGCCCCAATTAAATGTTGTCTCTTATTAAGAGTTGCTTTGGTCATGGTGTCTCTTCACAGCAATGGGAACTCTAACTAGGACAAATGAAATCTGGATTTTTCTTTTTTTCTGCATGAGATTTACCCACATGCAGCTGAAGAATAATTAGAACTAATTAAGACCTTAAATAAACATACACTTGCAGGTTACTCACGCAATGGTTTTTAAGTCGGCATATTAACATTATCAGGAAAATAACTCATTTAAGGATATTCTCATCACTGCCTGTGCAACAATTTCGTGAACCTGGAGACCAGCTCACGTTGTCATAGCTGATCATGGCAGCAAGGACGTAAGGACGTACCTCATTCTCTTGGACGATGTCTTCCTCCAAAATACATTTATCTAGGCTGATTTCAAACTTTATCGCTCTCTAGAATAAGCAAGAAAAAAGTCTTAACAGTTCAAGAAACCCTTCAAATTATAACCCCTGAGGCCAATTCATGTTGACACCATACATACATACATACTACATACATACATACATACATACTACATACATACATACATACTACATACATACATACATACATACTACATACATACATACCTGCATACATACGACATAACATACACCATCCATAAGATCATTAGTGTAGCACCACACAATAGGATATTCCATAAAACAGTGGGAGCAGGAAATCATACAGACAACCTGAATTGTAAAGCACACAGTAGGGCTATTCCATAAGACGGTGGGAGTGGGAAAACACACAGACAACCTAGATTGTAAAGCACACAGTAGGGCTATTATATAAGAGAGTGGTAGCAGGGAATCATATTGGCAACCTAGATAGTGAAACATGAACCCCAATCATCTTTTTAATGTGCAAGCAAAAGACAGGAATGTTTATAGCTCTGCTTTTGAATTTTACACTTTTATCTTCTGAAGCCCAATTTGTTTCAAGTCTCTCTCCATATTCTAAAAGTTTAGAGAAAAACATAATTCCATCACCTCATATTGATTGGATATTCGTGTCTAAGTCCATATTGGTGTATATTTCTCTAACTTGATTTTTACGTTGAATCTGATGAAACACTTTAGAATAAAAACATTTTTTTTTGCCAGAAAAGTTAATGATAGTTAGTGAAAAAGGTGTATACCGTATCCATCGGATTAGAATAGTCATGTATTTAACACTGGCATTTTCATGAACAAAAATTGTATAACGTGACAAAATGCTCATTGCTCGAATGCAGTTTAACCCAATCTGATTCAAGAGCATGGTTTTCTTTTGCTGGAGATCAAATTAGGGCTTTGTACATGTCAGGTGACTGCTTCAACACTGAGTCCCATTTGGGACTTAGAATGTAATTGTGACAACAGGATGTGTGTGTGTATGTGTGTATCCTGGTGGAAGCCTACAGAGTAGACACATTTCATGCAGGGGTGGCCAGACTAGATTGTGACACTAGATGTAGGCCCTGAGCTAGACTTCAAAGAAGGCTGTGAAGGATCTGGCTGCTTGGGCAGTTATAATTCTACAAATTCTTACGGAGCCATCTCTGCCCTCTGTGACCCACACCCCCACACAACGAAGAACACAGTAGGCATGGCCCAAAGGACTTGGCTGACATAGAGCTTACACTGTCCTGGGGTAGGCTAGGTAACAGAGAGTTTGCAAATTAACGACATGATTGCAAGCAAGTCTTACATGCACAGGGAACATAAGCCAGGAAAGCTGGCAAGATGGCTCAGCAGGCAAAAGCACTTGAATGCTTGGTGACCAAGGACCCCTGGTGGAGGGAGACGGTCAATTCCCCAAAGCTGTCCTCTGACCTCCACGTATGTCCTGTAGTTCATGCACACCTGTACTAATTACATACATGTATCAACCACACATACAACAATCAATCAGTTAATCAATTTTTAAAGGAAATAAGTGCTAGTGGTATGGGCCTGTGATCCAAGTGTCCCAGGGCAAAGCCAGGAGTGTCTGGAGGTGAAGGCCATCTTCAGTGACATGAAATCCTCTCTCAAACAAAACTGAAGAGAAAGTAGGATAACAGGGTGGAAAATAAGCAAGAGGTGAAAGTAAAGCACAAAAGTTACTTGACATTCGATTTTGGGCCTGGACACTGGACCTTAACACAAGAAGGTTCAAGGAAAACGTTTTCCATGCAGTGGGAACAGCAGGGTTGGGTCCCTAGAGTGGCTGTGTGATCCCCAGGTCTCTAATTGAGCTTGTCCAGGATAGAGCTTTTCATTGTCCCTGTCCCTCATAAAAAGTGGGTTTCCAGACTCCAGCTTCCAGACAAGAGGGAGTACCAGGGACCATATTGACTTACCTACCTAAAACAACCACAACCACATTCAACATCAGACACACGAACAGGAACCAGTGAGATGAACCCAGCAACTCCCCCTGCCTATGTCCAGACAGTTTGTTTGGCTGGGAAAGTGTTGTATTGATAAGACAAGACTGAGAACGTGGCGTTTCCCAGGTCGCTAGAGTTTGAAGGACAGAGCCCCAATGAGGAGAGGGCCCTGGCACAAGAGAAGCAGAGCTCACACCAATGCTGGTGGGAATGTAATGGCCACTTTGCTAATAAATGCAGCAGTTTCTTAAACAACTAAATAGAGCTGGGGCCATAGCTCAGTTGGCAAAGGGTTTGCCTTGTGAGCTTTGAAGACAGTTTGATCCATTGTAAGTATTTAAAAATAGCTGGGCAAAGTGGCACACACTTATAAACCCAGTGCTGGGAAGCCAGAGGCAGATTCCTGGGGCTCACAAGTCTAGCAAACTTGGCCAGCCCCAGCCCAGTGAAAGGCCCCGCCCTAAAAAAAATAAGATTTACAACTCCTACGGAAAACTTGAGGTTGACCTCTGGCATCCACATACATGCACACACACACACACACACACACACGCACACACACATGCACACACACACACATGCACACACACACTTGCCTGTGGACCCACACATGTGCATGCACACCAATCAGGCACGATGACAAATGATTGGAATTCCAGCTACTCAAGAAGGCAAGAAGATCATGAGTTATTCAGGAAGTATAGTAATGTGTATAGTAAGGCCTCCATGGATGGCTTTAAATAGAATGTATGGTGAAGCCTTTACATCTGGCTTTAAGTGAAATGTCTCAGCAAAGCCTTTGATGTTTGGGTCAGTAGAGGCTGAGAAATTGTTTTAAGACTATGTGAACCTTGAAGAAATGTCTCTCTAGAGGATGTGCACTTGGTGCCACGTGAGAGCTTACAGCTACACAAACCTTGGTCCTAAGATACTCCTGGCAAACCTGGAGTTCTTACTTTTGATTATGGCTAACCATGCTCAGAAGGCCTGAGATTTGTGTGGGTCGTCTGCTCTCTTGGGCAGCAAGGACAAGATAACCTCGGTAGACGGAACCTTTCCCAGTCCCAGCTAACCTTACATAATGTTTGAGTAAAGTAACTAGAGTAAGCTAGCTGGCTGTCAGACTTTCCCAAGAAGGCTGAACCCCTCTCCTCCTCTGGAAAATGAAGGCTTAGCGTCTCGGTGAGCTTCTCTCTCTACTGCAGCACCTATGACTGACATCAGTCAATAAGAAGACAGGAAGATCTTGAGTTTATGGCCATTCTGGACAATGAGATGAAATCCTGTCTCTTCTAATAAAAATAATCGAACAGCTCAGCATTAGAGCACTTGCCAAGCATATGTGAGGGTCTGGGTTCAGTTCCTAGAACTGCAAAAGGGGGGGAGTTAAACATAATGCCTACTAGATGGTTCGGCCATCCCAGGCAAATGTAGTCACACCAGAGTAAGAAGAGATGTGCCTGTCACTTTAAGATTTGGCTTTGAGTGCTGGGAGGTGGCTCAGTGTAGGAATCCGCAGCTTGTGCTGGCAGAATTTGCCATTGCAAGATGGCGCTGGCATCCGGTGCTCCTCCTAGTAAACAAGTAAACTGCGCATGTGCTATGGTAAAAGCGCGACAAAGTCAAAGCCCATCCCAGGGCGTTTTGGCGGGCAACGAGTAAGCAGCCAATCAGAGGTGAACACGCCGCCCCAAGGGTATATAAGCGGTGCCTTTTCCGGGCCTGGGGTCTTCCTCCATTTTCGTTTGGAATAAACGTTTGCTGCGGAAGGATCGTGATGTGTGCCCGTGTGCGTTCTTGCTGGCGAGACGATTACACGCGCGTCACAGCTCAGCAGGTAAGATCACCTGCTGCCTAAGCAAGAGAACCTGCATTGAAATTCCCTTTACATAAAACTCTGGGCATGGCTCTCTGTGCCTGTAAATGCAACACTGGAAAACAGAAACAGGCAATCCTGGAGCTTGCTGGATAGCCAGTCTAGCTAAAAATCTTTCAGCTTCAGGATTAGTTGAAGACCCTGTCCCAAGGAACAGTACTGAGACTGTACCCTGACATGCAAGAGAGCGCCCATGATGACATACAATGTCCATCATGGTCCCGGCTGTTTGCAATAGCCAAGAGCTGGAAACTATCTAAATAGCCACCTATTATTGAGTGGACAATAAGGTTTGACACATCTATGTAGTGGAATACACTCAGCAGTGACAAGGGGTAATACACTCCACAAGCACCACAAGTGAGACGCAACACGATGAAGCATAATGGTGCTTTCTGTTTCATGAACGAAGCCAGCAGACGGGATCACTAAGGGATGATGGTGTTTATATGCTGTGCTCACGTCTACAAAACGGTAACGAATCCATTGTGACAGAAAGCTCATGAGCAATTGGCTAGAGAAGATGTGGAGGGAAACTGCTAGAAGCAGAAGAGAGGAACTGACCAAAGAGCATCTGAGCTTTAGAGAAGGTCCCCAGGTGACTGAGTAACACGGCAGGAGGTTCGACCTGCCCTTGACCCCTGGGGCTGGAGCACTCTTACTCAGAAGCTCACAAATCTACCTGCTTCAAGACTTCTTCCTCGGGTGCATCAGAGCCGGAGGGCAGGTTACTCCTCTTCACCAAATAGGTTCTATGACTGAGGTCTGCATTCCCCTACAATTCAGATTACACATGGTCAATTGAAGCTACTTACCATAGTGAGAATTTGGAATTTCAGTTTCATTTTAAAAAAATATTATAAGAATGTGCTCGCATTTTAATCCCAGGTGTATTGATTTGGGGCTGCTTCTGATTGCCTGCAGCAGCTGACCAGGATTTGCCTCCTGCTTTAGCAGAGGCATGGTTTTGCCAGCTCCAGATAGTTTCTGCAATTGTGTGACCTTTGGAATTCTGGGAACTTTTCCGAGGGTTTATAATGTGAGGACCCCATAGGCATGGTTGTTGGTTGTTTGGGGTCGGGGAGGGGGGCTTTGGGTGCAGTTTGTTAGTAGTTGTGCTCAAAGAAGAAACAAGAAGAAATAAATTCGATTCAGGGATCCCGCTCCCTCCCTCTCTCCCTCTCTCTCTCCCCACTTCTATCCTTCTTTCTCTCCTATTAAGTGATAGGGAGTGAAACCCGGGGAATAAAGGGTGGGGAAAAAGAAGAGCCCACAAAATAGCAAAGGCAAGCTACACCTTCCTGTCTGCCCCTCTCTGACAGTATGAAGAGCTAGTCACAGACACCACAAAGCCCTCTCCAGTCTTCCTTTACCTTGGGATTGACTTAGTTTTCACCAAATGCTTCTTTCAGACTCTCTAGAAATGCCTGCTCCCCGGCCCTGGTGTAGATCCTGCGTTTGAGCCCCAGTATCGGAAATGTTTTAAATGTCAGGAGCACGGGGAGGGGAGAAGGCCTGCTATTCAGCTTTTCTGGACTACCACATAAAGCTGATGGCGGAGGCACAAGGCTCCACAACACGAACGAAGCTCGGCTCTGGAGATGCCCGCCCCTTACAGCCAGCACAGGCTTCTGAATGGCTCACTTAGAACAGGCCACTTAGCTCAGAGCTTCTAAAGTCCACCTCTCTTCTTAGGCCATTCCCCACCCCTACCCTATCAGTTTCTTCCACATAAGCCTGCATCCCACTCGGTCTTCCCATCTTTGCTCCTATGAGGCTTGACTATGGCAGTCTTATTCCATTGTCCTTCCATACATGTGTGCCTGCCGATGAGTAGATCTGCATCTGCTAGGAGGGAGACACACCAGAGGATCCTCCTAGCTTGTCTTGAGACAGCTGAGTGACTTGGGAGGAGTTCTGCATTTTCTGTTATAGGACATAAATAAGGTCCACTGAAAACCCTCCACTCCTGCTCACTTAGACTAGTGTGTGCGCATGCACTTGGAGGTAGGAGAAGGCTGGAGGAGGCACATCTGCACACAGCAGCATAGCAGTCTGTTCCCCGAACTGTGCTGGGTGAGCTCTGTATAGCCCCACCGGCCTCAGGAAAGGAACAACCCAGAGGGCTGCAGGTATTCATAGCGTTGGAATCCCTGTAATGTTTTTACACAGCAGGACAGATGCAGGCTGGCTAAATCATCCACTGAAGACACGGTCGTCTACTGCAATTCTAGAAACCTGAAATGTAGAAGGATGAGTTTCCAGTGTAGCACCGCTATGGGCTTTTCAAGAATGACATCAACTGTGTTCAGACTTACACAGTCTTGTAAATGAGAGAAGCACATCCCGAGAACTGCAAGCACCATAGCATGCATTTATACAGGCTAAGACGGCAATGGCATCAGACGACACGGTCTTGTGAGGCCACCATTCTATATGTGACTTATCATTAATTGTTCGTGAAGGAGAAAGAAAGATAAATACACACACCTTACCTCCTATGGAGCGAGAGATTTATAGCAGAGAGAGATCATTTGGTGAAAAGACTCAAGGCCACAAGCAAACCTTTTATGTCCTAGGATAACTTGAAAACCATTACTAATTTAATATCCTCCAAAACCGAAAAATGACGCTGTACACGACCACACAGACTTTGGAGTCCCTGTTCAGTCAGCTTTAATAACCTCGGGCCCCTTGCAGTCTCCTTACATAAGCCTATCCTAATTCCGGACTCTCTGCATTTAACCCAGTTCTGTCCTAAAGCAGCTGCTCAATAAACACTGGCTTTCCGATCCTACGGAAGACAACATGTATTTTTGATGACAGACGTTCCTAATGAAGATCATCACATCCTGACAATACCTGCTACCTTGTGCAGCAGGTGTTGTTAGGTCTGACAGCTTTCCTCTGAAGAAAAAACCTGAATGATCACCTTTACCCCATTTCCTGTCAGGAGATTGTGCGCACATGTGCATGTATCTGTGCGCATGTCTCTGTGTGTATGTACATGTGTCTGTGTATGTATGTATGCATGCATGTGTGTATGTGTGCATTGTGCATGGGTGTGTGGATGTGTGTGCATACCCACGTGTGCATAGGTACTTGTGTGTAAGGATTGCATTGCTCACAGGGCCTTGGATATGCTAAGCATGAACTCTTAAGCTCATTGGGTTTTTTTTTAAATATTATTTATCTAATGTATGTGAGTACACTGTTGCTGTCTTCAGACACACCAGAAGAGGGCATCGGATCCCATTAAAGATGGTTGAAGGCCCCTATGTGGTTGCTAGGAATTGAACTCAGGACCTCTGGAAGAGCAGTCAGTGCTCTTAACCGCTGAGCCATCTCTCCAGCCCAAGCTCACTGCTTTTAATATCTAGCCATTTCATCACGTCTAAGTTGATAGAGCAATGTTCACTGAAGTAGGGAGGGCTTACCTTCAGCTCTCTCCCCAGTTTCTTTTTGATTTCCTTCATGTCACTGTGGTACTGTTGGCGGATTGCCTCTAGCTGTTTCCAATACTCCTGAAAAGCAAAGCCAACCCAAAACTTGAAAACAATCTCTACATAGCCTCCAATTTTAGAAACATGTAATATAAGTAATCATAGAAAATAAGTTATTTCTAAGTGTAGTGATATGCTCATTTTGGCTGTGGTACTTCATAGTCTGTCAGGCTATAGAACACTGAATGGGACACTGTATGGAACACTGTATGAAACAGAGAGATTTGTTCAGTACAGTTCCAAATCCTATGCAGCTATCCTGCATATTCCATTTCTGCATTAATTGAATGTGTTGCCCCTCAAAATATATGTTAAAGCCGGTGTGCACACCTTTCATCCTAACTACATGGAAGGGTGAAATGGGAAAATCAAATACTTGAGTTCAAGAGTTCAAGACTAACCTGAGGAAACATGCAGACGTCACTCACCATCATCACCATCCCCTTCACCATCATCTGTCTACACTGAAGTCCTACCACCCAGCGCCTCAGAATGTGACTATTTGATCACAGGATCTTTGCAGATGTCTTTAGGTAAACTGAAGGCATGCTGGAGTAGAGTAGCCCCTCAATCAATCTGAGAAGACTCCTTTTTGAGAAAATGAGTCCATTCCCACCCACTAGGGACTTAGCTGCTTGGTGTGGACCCAGGGTCCCTCTAGTTCCTCTTGCAAACACCTTCCAGCCTTTCATTCTACCATCTCCAGTCCTCTGTGACTGCCTATTCACAGAACCTCTCTCCACTAGGAACTCAAGGCTGCTCGCTAGGCTGGAACTCAGGAAGGGGCTTCCTCCTCCTTCCAATGCTCATTACAGTCTCTCCAGACTTACCCCTTAGTCCGGCAGCGGCTGCCCACAGGAACCCCTCCTCCAAGAGCACCTCCATACACTTGAGACTTAGCCTCTTGGTGCAAACCCAGGATCTTCCCCCTCTTCTTTCCCATGGCTTCTCTAATCCTTTCCTTCCAGCCCGTCTCTACTCCTCTGTGACTCCATGCTGGCCTGCAGCTTTACCAGACAGAGCCCACGGCCCCACACTTGGCTAGGACTCAGACCGGACAACAGTCACCAAAGACCTGAACACCAACCCAAGAAAGACTAGACAAGAAATCTACACCAAGAAGCACCTTACATATCGTAACTCCAGATGCCTAGATCTCAGCACAAACTCACACACGTGAAAACCAAGACAATATGCCTTCTCCAGAAGCCTGCAACCCTACTGTGCTCAAGCTTCTAGCACATGACTGCACACAGTGGTTCTCCCCGTCAGCCTCCAAATTCATGATAGAATATTACTACTGTTTGTGTTTAACTTTGATAGAACTAATAAGAATCACCCTAATTAATGATGGACAGTCACTTTATCAAACGCTCGTGAACTCTACTCTGCGTGTCCCTAGGGATGCTGGAAGCAATGTTGGCGTATAACCAAAAAAGTCTGCAATCTCATGGACCATGGCATATACAAAATGGTAGAAAGAACTGGACATTTTTCAACCTGGTCCTTCATTTTGTTCTTCCTATACCGAAGCTCCTGGAACGCAGTCTCCTCCTGGTGGCTTTGTAGCTTTACTCTTTCATTTAGATGTGACTCCACAGAAGATGGACGAAGACCCTGTTAATTCAGTGAAATAATTTATGAGGCATACTCACACATTCTGGCTTAACCTGGACAATTTACTCGAGACGAGAAATACACCACCAAGCAATCTGCATGGGAGACTTTATGGACTCTTAGTTAACCTCTGCTGAGGTTCAGCAGCCCCAGGGTGTGACAGAGGGAATAAGAACTTAAACTTCTGAACAATTCAAAATAAGAGTGATATAAGCCAGGCCTAGTAGCCCATGTCTGTACTCCCCCACCCAGGAGGCTGAGGCAGGAGGATCAGTAAGAGCTTTAGGTTGGCTTGCTATACACAATGAATTCCAGGAGAGTCCTGGGCTGAACGGTGAGATTCTGCCTATAAATAATATGTAACATCCATGCTGGATTGCCTTGATTCCACAGAAGAATGAACTTGTACCTATAACCGTCTGGGAACAGAGAAGCCGTCAGGAAAGCCCTGAGCTCCCCATAGCCTTACCCACCAACTGTCTTTCCACGTTTAACTTATATTGCTGAGCTTCAGACTTCCTCTGAAGGTATGCAGCAGACCTGAGAAATAAGAAAGTTCTGCTTAAACATAATCCTCCTCTGCCTACCTTCTCCTTTCGTTTTGTCCTCCTCCTCTTCCTCTCCCTCCCCCTCCTCTTCCCCTTCTTCCTCTACCACCTCCTCCTCTATCTCCTCCTCTTCCTTCTCCTCCCCCTCCTCCTCCTCCCCCCTCTTCTTCTTCTGCCTCCTCTTTATCCTCTTCCTCCCCCTCCTCCTCTTCTTCCCCTCCTCTTCCTCCCCCTCCTCCCCCTCTTCTTCCCTCTCTTCCTCCCCCTCCTCCTCTTCTTCCTCCCCATTCTTCTTCTTCCTCCCCCGCCTTCCCCTCTTCTTCCCCCTCTTCCTCTCCCTCTCCCTCTCCCTCTTCCTCCCCCTCCTCCTCTTCCTCTTGTCTTTTATGGTGCCTGGGATTGGCACATGCTCTGATGCTCAGCTCCAATACTCCCAGGCCCTATGTAACCCTTTTCACTAATCATCTCAGGCACCAAACCTCAGTGATAGAACTCATAATTCATCTGTACTTTGAAGTTCAAAGTTAAAGAATACAACTTCAAGAAAGAAAAGCTCTGAAATCAAGAGGACAAATTTTAAATAAATTTTTTTTTTAAAATAAAGAAAACAAGTATATGAGGCGACTTCGGTCAAACACCTTGTGATAAAGGCAAAAATTAAGAGTTCTGAAACTGCAAACCAAAACTGGCAAAAAATGCCTTAAAAGCTCCAGAAGCTAGAGGAAGAGAGGGCTCTTGTGAACAGGCTGGATGAGTAAGGAGGGCCGCTGTCCACAAGGCCTGACCACCTGAGTTCAACACCTCAGACACATGGTGGAAAGAAAACAAAACACTGCTGTCTTATGATCTCCGTACACACTCACACACACACACACACACACCAGACACAATTAATTTTAAAAAGAGGAAGGGGGAGTCTCAGTTAGGGATACTGAGAGAGTGAAACAGCAAGATTCTCTAATCTAATGATTTTTCTTTCTCCAAAGCAGGATCTGGTCTTTCTATCCTCAGCTACGGTGAGGGGAAGGAAACAGCCAGACCCAGCTTTCCTTCAGCTTTGCGTGATGACTAAACCATAGCTTGCTGCTCTTCGTTTTACATGGCTGCCTGTCTGTTCTACACACACACACACACACACACACACACACACACACACACACACATACACGCACCTGCACATGCATGCGCGCGCATGCGCGCGCAAACTCCAGAAAGCAGGGCGCTCCTTCCCCTTTTGGGGAATCAAATAACTGATCTGTACAACTTTAACCTGAGATGGTGCTAAGTTGCTATGGGAAACATTTATTCTTTGCCAGCCCAATCCTGGTTAGGTCTGGTCAGATCACTGTCAGCCATTTGCCTGTGGCCTATACCCTCCGCCTCCTCTTCTCCCTCACTGTGTGATACACAGTGTCTAGGTGGCCCAGGCTGGCCTCACATTCAGTCTTCCTGCCTGAGTCCCCAGGTGCAGGGATTGCAGGCCTGTAATCAGGATGTACAGGGTGACTGGCTCTGCTTCTTTTTTTAAACAATGTTCAAGACCCTGGGTAGAATTGTTGAAAACCAAAATAAAACAACTTGAGTTTTTGAAAACTTCTCTAGACCATTCATATTGACCAAAGAACATCAAACGAAGCCGCATCTCAGAGAAAGTCAGTGGACTTTGACATTGCACACCTGCAGGACAATTGACGACGAAGTCTCACAACGTATTTTCTCTGAGTAGAAAAAATATATCTACCATTATTTTACGTATTTCTAGCAGTAATACATTTTAATTTGTATTTATTTATTTTTTTTAAAGAAACAGTCTCATGTATTACAGGCTAGCTTCAAACTCTATAGCCAAAGATGGCCCTGTGCTCCTGATTCTATAGCCAAAGATGGCCCTGTGCTCCTGATTCTGTAGCCAAAGATGGCCCTGTGCTCCTGATTCTACGACCTCTGTCTGCTGAGTGCTGGGGTTATAAGTATGTGTTTTGTTACCAGGCTGGGAACTGAACCCATAACCTGGATCACATTAGGCAAACACTGTACCCAGTGAGCTCTCCATTCCAAGCTCTGGACAACTGCTTTTGTAGAAAGGAAGAATTAAGGTGAAAACTGTACAGAAACAATTACTCACAATAATGAGAAGTTAGCTAGACATGGTCCTAGGAGCCTGGGCTGTGAGACCACACCTATGCTGGTTAGCCTCTTGACACTAACTGGGTCATCTGCAGAGAAGTGCCTCCATCAGCATGGCTTCTGGGGAAGCCTGCTGTAGCGCTTTTTTGCCTGAGTGAGCCTTTCCTGACCAGGTGGTCCTGGGATGTGTGAGAGAGCAGACAGAACAAGCCATGAACCGCAAGCCAGTAGGCAGCACTCCTCCATGTTCTCTGTCTCCCATGGGGTCCAGCCGTGCCTTCTCTCAGTGATGGACTGTGATGGGGATGTGTAGGCCAAAGAAACCCTTTCTTGCCCAGGTTGCTCTTGGTCATGGCGTTTATCACAGAACCAATAACTCTTCTTGTCTCACATCTGTAGGTTTTGGGTTTTGTTTTTGTTTTTTAACTCGTCCTCCACCACAAATGTAGGCAGCGGACTTTTTCACCTCCCCTGAGCATGCTCAGCCTAGATCAGTGGTTCTCGACCTTCCTGGTGCCACAACCCTTTCAGAAAGCTTCTCACGTGGTGACCCCCAACCATAAAATTAGTTTCATTGCTACTTCATAACGGTAATTGTGCTACTGTCGTGCATTGATCTGTAAATATCTGTGCTTTCCGATGGTCTTAAGGGTCATTCAGCCCTCCCCCAAAAAGGAGTCCTGACCCCCAGGTTGAGAACCTCTAGATCCTAGCTGCCTATGCTATGTCTAAATAAACAACAATGAAGCTCACTGGATCTCTGTATAACCTGCCTCACTTCCAGTTTCTTGTTTACATTTCCCTATCAGAGCCTCCTTTCAGAGGCTTTCTACGTCCTGCGAATCTGCACATGTGGCTACAGCTAAATCCTGTTGCTTTTACATTCTCTTTCTCATTATTCACTCCCCCGCCCCCATAGACACACTCAGCATCCCAGCGCGTCAGCTGATTCTTGACACCCGGACTAAGTTGTTCTCCTGACTTATCGCCCCACAAACCGCCACCAGCATTCTGTGAGTTACGTCTAGGTTCTCATGCTATTCTTTATCAGGCCCAAGATCCAAACTTCAGCTCCAAAGGGCTTTTTGCAAGATAAATCTTAACATACAGTCCAATTTTACTATTACAGAATAAACTTCACGCCACAAATATACAATAATTCATGATCTATCTCTAAATATTCTCCCACTCTACCCTTTCCCTGACTCCCCCAACCCTTCACATCTGCAAAAAGTAAGCTTTGATTCTGCCACTTCAAGCATCTCATCTTGTGAAGGAGCCCCACTTCTGAGCTAGACACACAACTTCTTAGAAACACCTGCTTATGCCCACAAAACCGGGTGATTTCTAGCCTACTGAAACATTTATTTATATTTTCTATCTGTTTATAGTCATCACAATTATTGGAATTTCTCCCCCAAATGTCAGCAATATGTCAAAACTCATGGTGTGAGACATATGTGACAAATACTTTTTCTTTTTTTTTATTATCACAAAGCTAATGTGCTGGCTTTGCAACAAGGTTTGAGGCGAGCACATCTTACAGAGTGATGTAAAAACCCCGTCCACTTATGATTCACATAAGGATCTGGACGCTTCTCTGTTTCTCCCATTCTATAAAGACTGAGCCAGGGCCTCTTCATGCTAGTCAAGGACAACCTGACAACCATGAGCAACACACCAACCTTAAAGGGTTGGGCTTTTTAATTTTTATTTTATTTTTGGCCAAGTGTAACAAGACAGCTTTGAGCTTTTCTCTTTCAGGGTCAGACATAGCTGAGGTCTCACACCTATGATCCTTTTGCCTCAGCTTCCCAAGTTCTGGGATCACAGGTGCAGCTGATGCCCTGCTAAGAATTAAATTTGGGGCCTGGAGAGATGCCTCAGTGGTTGAGCACTGGCTGCTCTTCCAGAGGTCCGGAGTTCAATTCCCAGTAACCACATGGTGGCTCACAACCATCTGTAATGGGATCTGATGCTCTCTTGTATGTCTGAAGGCAGTGATAGTGTGCCCACATACATAAAATAAATAAATCTTAAAAACGTGGGGGTTTTGTTATTTCATTTTTGTGATACTGGGGATAGAACTCGGGGTCTTTTGCAAGCTAGGCAAGCAAGCGGTGTGCCACCAAGCTACACTCTCACCCACCCACACAGGCTTTTTAATGACAAAGTTACACGATCCTACCACGGACTACCTCTCCAACAAGCTGTGTGGCCGACAGCCACGTTCTCCGTGTGAGCATGGGACTGAATTCTTCTTGAATGGACCTAGAAATCAAGTATATGTGTCAAAGACTTATCATCCAAAATCCTTACCAAAATCTAGAGTCACCCTCAAACCTACCTCAGGAGACAAGTATCGGGCAATAAAAGTTTCTAAAAAGGGCCTTTTCAAAAGGGAATTAATAGATGGCCGATCCTGAGGAGACACTCTAAAGAGCTGAGGTACCAAGGACTGTAGGTCAAGAGAGAAGTGGGGTGATATGCGAGCGACACGTCCTTGACAAATCTTCAGAACCAGATGGTGTAAGTTGTCACTCTCAAACTGAAAGGATAAAGATAACACATTAGAAACAAGCTAAGACTGGCAGATCAAGTGATCAATATACCAGGAAGCAAGAGCTGACTGTTCGTCTATCTATCTATCTATCTATCTATCTATCTATCTATCAATCATCATCTACCTACCTACCTATATTGTCTGTCTGTCTGTCTGTCTGTCTGTCTGTCAGTCAGTCATTGTGTTTGGCATCAGCACAGGGCCTTGAGCATGCCAGGCAGATGCTCTATCCTTGAACTACATCCCCAGGCTACAAGTATTTCTAAGTTGCAGTGGGAAGCATTGTGCTCTGCCCTAGCCTGTCATCCACTATCCGTCATAAGTGGATACTTCAAGCTGTTAACCTAAGCAATTCTGTGTTACTTAAAACCAGTTTTATCCTTTTAATATCTTCATTTTGGTTTTGGTTTTGGCACTGTCAGTTGAATCCAGGACCCTGCATTTGTACAGTATGTGATCAACCTATGAACTACAACCTTAGTCCCTAATTTCAATTAAAAATGTTTCTGTTATTTTCAATTTTTTACTTCCAAAACACTATTTACTTACATTTAAAAACTAGAAGGTATGGGAAGTTATAAACAGAAAAATATGTTTAACTTCCCAACCTAAAGGTATATTTCCTTACAGTTTTCTCAAGAATGTTTATTTTACAGAGAGATTCATGCTGACATGACATTTTACCTTTTGAGTTTTCAAATGCTCTAACATAAATATTTACTCATAAACCCATCCACAATAAAGTCTTCCATTGTGTAAGAGTACCATCTATCTATACATAATATGTTGCATATGACAGTGTAGCGGTAAAGTGCAGGTTTTGTTCGGGTGTGATCTGTGTGGCTTTTGACATTAACAACAGAGATAATGAAGACAGCTGCATAGACAAGAGCTGACAAGCAAGCTATCCCAGGAAAGTCCTCCCTACAGTACTGGCCTTGTCTGGAGTCTCTGGGACCTGAGGTTTGCAGAGAAACCCCACTCCTACCTAAATGTTGAGTGACTCTCTTTGTCTAAGACTTTTATGCAGATAATAGGGTTTCCTTTGAATATATGACTTGCTCCTGCAGGCCTTGGGAGTTTTGTGCATGCCAGGAAGACGATGCCTACATGGGCAGATTCCAATAAGGTACCTAATGAACTCACAATGCTTCTTGGTTATCAAGGCTTGTCGAAGGAAGAATCAGCGCATCCTATTCGACAACTGAAAGACTTTTAGACGTCTGTGCTTCATCTCCTACGGAATCTGCCCCCGCACGCTTTACCTCTGGAGAACACACGTGTAACAGGACCACGTGCCACATGCTAGTCTCTGACTTGGACTTTTTACTTTATAGTATCACCGAGACACATTGTAGTCAAACGTAATTCTAATATGCCCCTCTCTCTCTCTCTCTCTCTCTCTCTCTCTCTCTCTCTCTCTCTCTCTCTCTCTCTCTCTGATTGTGTGTGTGAGAGACAGACAGACAGACAGAAACAGACAGAGACAGACAGACAAACAGACAGACAGGCCAGCAGGCAGGCAAGCAAGCAGGCAGGCAAACAGACAAAGAGTCTGCTATGAAGCTCAAGCTGACCGTGAATTCAGTCCAGCTATATCTCCTGGGTTTAATTTTGACATTTGAAAAATGAGTTCTCTCTCTGCTGTTCATATTCATCTTGAGTCCCTGAGTTGATGGGCCATAGGCACATGCTGCTGTCTCTCAGTTTCTGTCTCTCTGTCTCTCTGTCTCTGTCTGTTTCTCTCTCTCACGCACACAGATGTAATTTAAAAACAATCTGATAAAATCAAACATTAACCTTAATCTCACATAGATGCTTTTAGTAATCCAGGATTCCCATGAAGAGTGACATACTCACAGGATGCTTAAGTGTGCACAGCTCATAGAGGACACAGCCAAGAGACCAGATGTCCCTGGAGAAGAGAAGGCTTTTACATGTCAGAATATGGTGACAACTGTTGGTAGAAGCTTTTCCCTCTTACATAGCTTTATGTGTGTATAGGTCAGAACATTTGTTTACAGGCGCTTTCAAATATATTATCAATCCTAAGATCAAAAGTAAATAAACATTGCTGCAACACGCTAAGTAGTCACTTCATGTGCCCAAAGAAAATATGTGTATGATGTCATTGGAGGAGAAAGGCGAGCCTCCAGGGTGATTGCTTTTGGCTCAAAAGATAGAACGTGGTTGCTTTATGAGGATGAATTCTACTCCAGACTCTTGATGTAGAAAGCATTACATTAAGTGACAGCATAGTCTCAATAAACATTTGAAAAAACATGCTTGCAGCATAGGCCTTGAATTTTGTTCTTTACACACTTATCAAAAACATATTTAAGGGCTAGAGAGATGGTTCAGTGGTTAAGAGCACTGGCTGTTCTTTCAGAGGTCCTGAGTTCAATTCCCAGCAACCACAGGGTGGCTCACAACAGTCTTTAATGAGCTCTGGTGCCCTCTTCTGGCAAGCAGGCAAATATGTGGGCAGAACATTTTATCCATAGTAAATAAATCTTGTTTATTATTTATTTATTTATTTTATGTATATGAGTACACTGCAGCCGTCTTCAGACACACCAGAGGAGGTCATCGGATCCCCATGGCTAGCTCAGCCTGCTTTCTTATAGAACCCAGAACCAGCAGCCCTGGGATGGCACCATTCATAATGGGCTGGGCCCTCCCCCATCAATCATTAATTTAAAAAATGTTTCTCAGGCTTGCCTACAGCCTAATTTTACGGAGGTGTTGTCTCAGTTGAGGATCCCTCCTCTCAGGCGACTATACTTTGTGTCAAGTAGACGTAACACTAGCACAGATAGCTCACGGAAGAAGTATAACACTACAGGGCACCACCTGCTTGCTGCTGGGGCATGCCTGGGATGTTTGAGGCTAGCCCAGGATATGTACTCTGTTTCAAACAACCAAAGACAACAAAATAATGTTGCTGAAGCAAAGCTATGCCTGGCAGAGGTGAGCTCTTCTTTCAACTACCTGGCTTCCATCTCACTATGTTATAACTGTGTTATCACTGAGGCCAATCCCCGGCGTCAGGAAGTGTCTCAAATAACCAAGCAAACAAAGGGCTGGGGCCGTCTCCCACTTGGTAAAGTGACCAGTGCACAAGCATGAGGACCTGCGTTTGGAACCCCGGAACCTGTGTAAAAGCAGTAAAAGTTGAGCATCGTAGGGAGCGCCTGGAGTGCCTGGAGCCCCAGCACAGGACAGAGACAGGCAGATCTCTGGAGCTCACTAGCCAGGCAATCCAGCCACTTAGTAAGATCATGTTCAGCAGAGACCCTGCTCAACACATAAGAGAAATAGAGGAAGGTGCCTGACCTCCCATCTATACCACAGACACACAGACACACAGACACACACACACAGACACACACACA